GCAGTATTAAAAAATACGCAAGAGCTCAGTATTTACAGAGTTTAATCAGAGCTCAGTAATTACAGAGTTTAATCAATTCTCTCTCTACAATTCTCAATACTAATTCTTATTAAGTCTCATCTAAGAGAGAGACAGGAAGTGTTTTAAAAACAGCATGTTAAAAAAAGTAAAAATATCATGCAATAAATAACAGTAACTGGTTTTATTATACTACCAATAAACAAAATTATTTTTACCTTAACTAAAAGTTAATTTCCAGCATTTCTTAATTAAGTTCTAGCTTCTCTCTAACTGTTGACAAATGATTAATATGGTAAATTTCACATCATATTAAATTTACAAAATTAAAACCATGTTTCAACAGTAAGCAGAATAATCAAGCGATGACAAAGACAACTAAAAGAAAATGATAACAAAAAAAAAAAAAAATAAAATAAAAATAAAATCATTTAAAATTGAAACTGTTATTATTTGCTACTATAAAGAGTGAAATTCATACTTTGCTTTATTTTAAAGAGTCTAATATAAAGTCAAATAATAGACATCAACACCCCGCTTGATACTGAATTGACACAAAAAAGTAAGTTATCGGTTCATCAAGCAAAATTTCTTATATTTCAACGACAATTAATTTTATCACGCCTAGATCTATTTCTTTCATATGACAACAATTTATAAGTCACCTATAACCATTTACACTAATAACTTCTTCAAGCCTAATATTATACATCTGTTATCATTAAATATATATAACCAGTGATTATACTACTGTTACAACTGAATAAATGAACGTTTTATATTTTTACAACTGAAAAATATAAAACAAAATTTATTGACATTATTAAAATTTAGCAAAGAATTTAGAACACATTGCAAAGTTATTTGCATTGTGTTCTAAATTCTTTGCTAAATTAAGAAAGCCTTTAGGCACAATCTTAATGCACAAAAATAATAAATGCAGAATCTTGTATAAAAAATGAAGCAATGTCAGTCTAAAGTAATATATATATATATATATATATATATATATATATATATATATATATATATATATATATATATATATATATATATATATATATATATATATATATATATATTTTTTTTTTCCTCTGAGATAATATTCATATAGATTCAGAGAAATATAAAATATTTTGATATATAGGCACATTTATGTATATAAACTTACCTGTCAAAACTTGCAGTCAGTTTTCCATGTTAAATACATAAAATATATATCTAATATAAAATTAAACAAAACATTAATCTTACTCAAATCAGTTCGACTGTCTAAATATTTTTATTATTAACCCTTCTATTTAAAAAAAGAAACAATTGATTTGAAGTGACTAAAAAGCACTTCAGCTCTTTCCAATTGCACTAAAAAATAAAATAAATCTTGCTTTGCTAAGTTGCCTAGTTCTTAAGAATCTGAAAACAAATAAGTAAAAAACCAAGAACAAACAAACATTTATTTACTAAAACTACTCTATTTAAACAAATTAAATTAAACAGAGAACAACATTGATACTCCTTGAAAACTGAAAAACTTTTCAGCTCAAATTTGCTTGCAGACCTTGCTTATAAAACCACTTGAATAAGAAAAGCATCAAAAAAGTCTAGAAGCTATTTAAAAATGGTATATGCAACATTAAACTTTAAATGTTGATTGGAGTAGATATTTTTAAAAAATTCAAAATGATTTGTTCTTCTATAGCAAATAAATACACCATAAATCTGAAGTTAAAAATGTAACGAATAAGTAAATACAAAGAAAAACATCATATGTGAATTGAAAATCAATGTACCTGATAGAGATAAGCTGTTGTGATACCTGAGTAGTAGTTGCTAAATATTGTTTTTTCATGATAAACAAATTGTATTTATAGCGAAATGATGTCTTGAATGAATTTTAGTAAATAAATAAAAGCAGTGAGTTCTAATAATGAAACTACCTATTATTCATTTTTAACAGCTGACACTAACGTAAAGATAAGCCAAAGGTAACAACATTACGCAAAAAATTATTAAAGATAATGCAATGTGTTTTCATAATAGTTATATTAAAGGGTAGGCAACACTTAGACCTAAAGCAGTAACATCGCATGACTGGTAAGGTTGATAAATCTTGCTCTACACGTTAGCCAAGTCACTCCACTTTGAAATCATGGAAACAACATTATATAAACATATATACTAATATAAAAAAATTCTCAAAACAAATATACAAAGAATACAAACTTATGTAAAATAAAATTAATTTGCCATTGTCAAAAGTAATACAGGTTTCTTAAGTTTAATTGATAGAAGTTAAGAAAAACCTGCAACCATATTAGCAAAAACTTATTTAAAAAAGTTAAAATTTATTCTGTTTCTAATGAAGAAAAAAAAAATTTAGAAACAAACAACATATCTTCGCTGACAGCATCATAAGGCAGGGGTTGGGAGAAAACATTGAACAAAACGGGTAATAAAACTTATTAACGCGTTATGTACAATAGAAAACGGGTTATTAACGCAGGTTTATAAATTTTTTTCCCCCAACACACTAGTATGCTGCCGCAACTCCAAGGATATACACAGTTATATATATATGTATATATATATATATATATATATATATATATATATATATATATATATATATATATATATATATATATATATATATATATATATATATATATATATATATAACTATTTATTAGCGAAAACATATGAAAACCAAAATTTTTTATATAATATATATAGTATATTTGATAAATAAACCTCTACAATTTCTTTGGTTCAACAACTTGATTATGATCAATAAAAATTTTGTAAATAAAAATTTTCTAATGATCTAAATCTTTATAAATTAGATATTTTATTATATCTTAATTATAAATTAAATAAATTATATTTACCTTAACTATAAATTAAATCTTTATAAATTAGATATAGATAGAAAAACAAACATATAATAACACAATTATATCCTAAACCAAAATTCAATCATGCAAGACAAATTATTAAATTTTTTGAAAAGAAAAAAAAACATTTTTTTTTTTTAAAGAGCCAAAGTATTAACAATACTATAGATAAACTTTATTTATAACATTATATATATATTTAATTTATTAGCCAATGAAAATCGACTTTTAATTTTCGTAACGAAAATTTTCGTTGTTTACCGAGTTTGGGGTGCGGCGTTTTAAAGTCCGCCCGATTTTGAAAACTTGAAACTTTAAATTTTGAAAAACTTAAACTTTAATTCTACCTCAAAGAAAACAGATATATATTGAAAAGTATTTTTATTTCTTTTTCACTTTTTCTCAAATTTCACTTATTCTCAAATTGAAATAAAAAAGGAGTCGGTCACAAGATTTTTAGGCATTTACATTGATGAAAATATTACATGGAAGTGTCATATCGACTATATTTCTACTAAATTAGGTAAAAGTATTGGAATTCTATATAAGGTCAGATACTATCTAAGTTAACAAAATTTAATTCAACTCTTCTACTCGTTTATTCATAGCTATATAAATTATGCAAATATTGTTTAGGGAAGTACCTCTAAAAGTAAGTTACGAAATCTTTACCATCGTCAGAAACACGCAATGCGTTTAATATGTTTCGAAAATCGTTTTTCTCATTCAAATATTTTATTTAAAAACGTTAAAGCACTTAACGTTTACGAACTCAATGTCTATAATATTATATGTTTTATGTTTCGTTGTAAAAGTGAACGACCATTGTCCAATTTCAAAGATCTTTTTACTTATAAAGCTATAAACAAATATGCTTTACGAAATAATAATTTATTAATTGAACTCTTTTGTCAAACAAAGTTTAATCAATTTTGCATAAACTATAGAGCACCGTATTTATGGAACAAAATTGTTGTTCCAAATTTTGATTTGTCAATTTCGTTTTCCGTTTTTAAAACTAAATTAAAAAACTATATTCTTTCTACTGGCAATATATATAAATATTTTTGAAATGTAAAATTCTTTTTTTTTTACTCTGGATAATTTGTAAAATTATTTTCAGTTTTTGTTTCTTCTACATTGTTATTAGTTATTTGATCAATTGTATTTTATTTTATTATATATACACGTATTATATCTTTTATATGGTTCTGGCGACAAGATCATTTGGATCTTCTTTCAGATACCAAGTTTATATATTGTTATATTACGATTAATAATTGTAAACTAAAAAAAAAAAAAAAAAAAAAAAAAAATATATATATATATATATATATATATATATATATATATATAGAGAGAGAGAGAGAGAGAGAGAGAGAGAGTGGCACTTCGGTCGATTTTACTATTATCATTATCTCTGGCTATATTTAATACCAAAGTACGCGAATAATAAAGACATTTTCAGAATGAGTTCATTTTTTAAATTTGGATAACTGGTTCCCAAGTTATGACAATTTGTGTTGGGCTCAATAACGCCTATTTTGCGTCCAGATTTGTTGAGTTTTCCTTAAGGATTTATGGCACCAAATTTTGATAATAAATTTATTTTTAGAATGCCATCAATGAGAAAGAGTTTTATTGAAGTACTTATGCTAAATTATCTTTATTGTTTTCTTTTCTAATAAAGAATCAAAGCGTTCAATTCTACAAATCATTTCTCTCAGATTAGGGGCCCCTAGGTAAGGATTCCTTAAAATTTATTCAAAGTAAAAGAGTTTTTTTTTTAATTTTCAGAGTGAACGAATTCATTTATATTTATAAATATCAATAAATATATCAAAAATTTCAGGTCTTTTTTCCCCGAATCGAGGCGACTGGACCGGGAACAATTAAAGCTCTGTAAAGACAATAAAAATTAATTTTAGTTAAAGAAAAAGTACTTTTTCATATTGTCAGAATAAACAAGTTCATACACATTATAAAAACCCAAAATATATGTAAGAACCCCACTGCTCGTTTGCCCCATTTGGGACAAATGGGTCAAAGGCAATGAAATTTCTGTAAAAACCAAAAAAAAAACTTTAGTTAAAGAATGAGAGCTTTTTTATATTGTAAGAGTAAACAAATTCATATACATTTATAAAAACCCAATAAATATGTAATCCCAATGCTAGTTTGCCCCATTTGGGGCAATTGGGTCAAAGGCAATAAAATCTTTACTTAAAGGATAATCACTGCTGGAAAAAACACAATAATCAAAAAATACACAAATCAAAATTAAGAAAAATACAAAAACGTATTTAAAATCATCATCCACCATTTCTTCTTGTTTGCATTGCACCACAATCTTACAAGCACTTCATCGTGTTTAAATGTTTCTCTAAGAAAAATGAACAAAAAATTTGATGATCAACAAAATCTTTGTTTACATTTAAATAGTAACAATGATAGGTTTATCAACTAATTATACTATAGAAACTTTTAAGTGATTCTACCTTTTATAACAAGATCATATCTCCTTTATCAAAGTCAGATAACAGTGGAAATGTATAAATGCTTCCAGGTTCTGATTCGTAAATAACATCATATAATGTTTGCTTGATTTTTTTTCCAACTTAACCTATTTTAAGAATATCTGCTTTGCACCAAAAATACTCTTCTTCATCAACTTCTTTTATTTTATGAAGAATAACTCGCCCAACTAAACTAAATGGATCATCTAATAAAGCCGGCAGAAACAGGAATTTTTTTTGTTTTGCAAGATGTGACATTCTAGAATCTTTTAACGTTGTAAACAACTTTTCTTTTTGTTTCTTAATCAAGTCATTGCGTTGGTTTTTTTCTTTTAATGTATTGGTTGTTTTTTCTGGTGGAGGCAAATCGCAGTTACCAATGACAGTCAACAGGTTCTCCATTAACTCACCTGAACTTAAATCAATACGTTTATTTCCAGAAACTTTAGTTTTATAAAACAGCTTTAACAAACATTTTGCCCCCATTACATAACGATAAAAATCTAATTAAACTCTAATAACTTGCTTCCTTAAAGTATCATTTTCAAATTTTGAAGATTTATCTTTTGCTTCATCGATTTCAATTGAATAAGCTCATTTACAATATTTGCTTTTTTCAGCAATGCCTTCTTTTCTGTATCTGGTTTGAGTTGCTGTTTTACTATCAGAATAGAAGATTTCTTTGATATTAACTCTACTTGACGCTCTTTATACTTTAATTTCATCTTTTTAACACTATTAGAAGCTTTTCCAATTAAAATGTAATGCTCTTCTTCTGATTTTGCATCCAACCAATCTAAGGTTTTGTTTCTGTACCACATTGTATATGCTTGAATTGTTTGTATTTTAGCATTGGGCTTTGTCCGAATAAGTAGATCCAGAATCGCAAAATCACTTTCTGAAGCTTTGTTAGTTGTTGGTACATTTTCAGCAGCCTTTTGAATTCTATCATCTGAGTTCCAATATTTACCTCCTGGGAGCTGATCAATTGCTTGTCTTTCTAGAATTATTAAAAACGCATGGGAAATTATTTCTAATGACTGCTGCACAAAGACATCAAATTCTATATTTCCAGTCTCCTCAAAAAGTTTTTCATAAAGTTTATCTTTATGTATTTTGACATCTCTTGGATCAAATACAGGTGTTTGATTGAGCATTGGAGAAGCGTCTTTGCAAAGATCTGACAATTTCATTTTTAAACAAAATAAAAACTTATTCATACTAAGAATGTTTTTGTTTTCTTCAATGAGTCTCCAAAGGGGACCAGTAATTAACTTATCAAAAATACCTAATGCACAAGATTCTGCTAAAAATAATAAATTTGATATATCTTCATTAACTGCCTTCAATAGATTATTTGGATTTGGCCATTGAGACAAAAATTCTTTAATAGATTCAGAATGATAATACAGTGCAGCACCATTATAAAACAAAATGTTGAACCTATTGCCTATAAAAGGAGCAAACATACATTTGTCTACACTTTTTCCAATGAGAAAAGAATTAAAATATCCTGCCACACCAAGTTCATTGCTACCTCGTTTATGGAATGCTTTACATGCAGAACGTATGAGTCTTGCAGCCCCCGATTCAAAAGTTTTAAATGCAAAAATGTCTTTGTGATCATCACTCAGAGCTATTTTTTCAAATGAACTCAGTACTTTATCTGTCTCAGTTGCAAAGTTTGTTAAAAGGTGTAACTTACAAAAAAAGTTTGACATTTCCTTAAATTCATTTTTTTGTTTAATTGTTAAATAGTCCTAATGTTCTATAACTTTTGGTAACAATAGCTCCCTCATTTCTTTGAATTTACTATTAAAAAGTGGATTGATAGAACCTAAATCTGACATAGTTGTCTTAAATGAACAAATTAACTTTGCAAAGTCTTTTTCCTTGTCTTTTGTGTCCAGAACATCACAAATATCATCCAATGTTTCTGTTAAAGAACTCAAAGTAGATCCAGCATCACCAGAAGCTAATTCTGATAGCCCAAATGATAGCATTTTACCACTTTTAGAAGTCAACTGAAAGTTTTGATAATGTCTGTAATATTTGGTTGTTCCATCCCCATGCAAACAGTTTCCTGTGTCTTTCTCAACATTATCTAACATTTCTTCTGATACTTGAATCTGTGCAAGAATTAAAGCCGCTGACATAAATCTAGATATTGTATCAACAGAGGGAAGTTTTGAAACTGTTTTTTTTGCAAGTTTCTTTAAAACAATTTTGATTACATCATTGACCTTGTTCATACTAACATTTAATGATAATAGCTCCATAATAACTTCACGAATATCATTTGAATAACCCCCTCTTTCAAAAGTTACAATTTCCTCATCTTCCAACAACTTCAAAAGACCATTTAAATATATGTTTTCTTTGTTTAATGATTCAACTTTTGCACCAAGTTCTTTAACTTCTGACTGCAAGAAAGTAAGGTCTTCAATCGAAGAAGCCGAAATTGATTCCTTTGTTTTATTTAAATTATTTTTCAAACGACATAATTTCTTTTGAAGATTTCTTTTTTCTTGTGATAAAATATCATCTTTTGTATTACTACTTTCTAGCATTTGATTAAGGTCATTGAATTCCTTATTTAAAGTTTGAGATTGGCTTACAAATTGGGCTTTTAATGCATCAATTTCTTTTTCTTGTTTTTCTAGCTTTATATCTCGATACAAAATCTTCTTGTTTAAATTTCGAATTCTGTTTGTTTTATTCTTAAGTTTTAATGTGGTAAATTTTTTTTCTAGAGCTGACAGCCGTTCATTCGTTGTTGTATATAGTGCTTTACACTGTTTGGACTGTCTTATGAATTCTAGTTTCTCTGCATTGCTGGTTTTTATAACTGACTTAAGTTTTTTATTTCCACTTTCAAGATTATTTAGCTGTTTATAGCAGTTTTTATAATTTTCTTTTAAATTGTGAACAGCTTCAACTTTGCGTTTTAAAGTTTTATTTTCGATTTTAAGATGGTCTAGGTCATTTACGAGATTTTTTTCTTTTTTAGGTGATGTTGATAGTAAAAATGTTTGAATATTTGTTTCAGATATTGGTGGTATAAAATTTAAAAGCATAAATTCTTCTTTACTTTTTTTAGTCAGCAACCTACTTTTCTGAATAACTCTTTTTATTTTCGAAAACAAACTAAGGTCATTATCAGTAATTTGAAAGTTGGAAGAAAATCGTTGTCTAAAAACTGTGCACACATTGGATAGGTTTTTTTCTTCTAAACTTTGATACCATAAATACAAATCTCTATTCTGCATTTTAAACAGCTAGATATAAAAAAGTATTAAAAATAAAAGTTACGTAAATAAACGCTCCTATAGATGCACATAAATAACTAGCTATATGTAGGTTGAACAGAGTACCCATAATGGCGTCAAGAAACATCGAAAAAATAATGAAAAGTGTTTTTTTTTTAATTGTAAAGTCCAGACAAAAAAAAACAAATTATTATAAAAACAAATATCAAGTATTGTAATTTGATAAGCTGAATAATCTTTTTTGATGTGCTAGAACCTCAAAAAAGCAATTTAAAACAGTATATGTACTTGTCAAAAAGTGTAAATAAAATAAACTATGGAGAAAACGACTTGAAAAATCTTTTAGCTTCTTTTTTAAGAAACTTTGAAGAATAACCTCCACAGATTAACATTTTTTTAAAACTTTTTCCAGTGAAATATAACTGGCAAATGGGTTTGAAATTAGATAGCATTTAAATAATTCCCGAAAAAGTTGCCGAAAAATTCGCTAATGTTTAAATTCTAAACTTGTCACACGGAAAAAGTCACGTGACTGAAGTGCCTAATATATACACACATATAAGTGTGCATGTGTGTCTTATATATAATTATATAATAACTATAGTATACTATTTACACAGCAAATGATCTAATAAGGAAATAAATGAAAATTATTAATGTACATATTAATTTTTAACGCCTACACTGATTACTATAAAATATCTGCAGACATTGTTAACAAAATTAAGTTCTTCAAGGTAGCATAAGTAATAAATAAATATTGCTGCTTAGAAGTAGGTTTTTATTTTTATTAATTCTTTTTTTCTACTAAATATTTTACTTATCATTTTTAATATTAGTAGTAGTATTTATGTTAAATGGTACAAAAAAATAGTTGAGTGCTTTAATTTATGTATGGCATTTTATTTATTTGTTTTATTATGGCATTATGATAAATATGTTGATGCTAAAATTTTTTGAGAAATTATTTACTCCAGTGTCAGAAATCAAGAAAGATTCTAAAAAAAGAGCTGAAAATTGGACGCTTGAGCAGATTATCTAATAATGATAAAACATTTTTAATGTTAATAGAAAATTTCAATTATTTTTAGCAATCTCAAAACTTACAAAACACGATGCATGGAGTAAAATTGCGGTTTCTCTTGTCGGTTCGCACAGTGCTACAATGTAAAAAGAAGCTATCTGATCAAAAATCTGACAGCTAGGGAAAAGCAGCACGGATTATTTCTAGTGTAAACAAGACTGGCGGGGGTGAGGGGTGCTTGGAAGAGCTTAACTCCATTGATCAGCAAATGGTGTCCAAGATGCCAAAAGTTTCATACATGGTAATGATTTTAAAAAAATATAATTTTTGTGTGTTTTAAATATATATATATATATATATATATATATATATATATATATATATATATATATATATATATATATATTTATATATATATATATATATATATATACATATATATTTACAGGGAATCACTGGAGGTATTAACTCTCTTCAAAGTCCTACCGCATCGAATAACGACTTTATTTTTCAACAGATATCAGGAAGTTTTTCACCACAGCCAAAGGAACAAACGTTTGATCAGTATGCAAACTATTTTTTGTGCAATGTGGTAGTTTAATAAATTTTATTGCGTATTTTTATTATTTGCTATATATATATATATATATATATATATATATATATATATATATATATATATATATATATATATATATATATATATTATATATATATATATATATATATATATATATATATTTAATTGTTGATAGGTATAGTATTCTGTTAAAAATACAGCTCTTGTCTGCTTAAGAATGATCAATATTTCTTTGTAAAATAGAACGAATTATATTTATATAATTTAAATGAAAAAATTACAAATTTTTATGGAACTATAAGTTTCATGCCATTCGGCAATCATTCAGACATATTATTCAAAATTTACAAAATAAAAAACCGTTAAAAAATCTTTTAGCGTTGTAACGGTATCTGACGTTAATTTTACGTCAGATGATATCATGAGTTCGTTATCTCCGGTATCGAATTGCGAAAGCAGAACTTTTTTTCTATGCCTGCAAGAAGATACCAACTCACTTTTTTATTAAGTAATGATCCTTGATCATAAGTCATAATTAAATACTTTTCATATAGACAAAGATTACATCTTTTAGTTGATGGATTATATAATTGACACTTTTTAATTATGTTCCACTTGATTAACGGCATAATACCTGCATTTTTATGTTTCCATATTTCTTTAGAAAATTCTGTATCGTTTTCGTATCTAGTAACGTTAACGATATAACACATTATTGATAAACACGTTGTTGATATAACTAATATATGTACATATATTAAATTTAATATACACATACTTTATTATAATAAAATGTGTGTGTAACAATCTATAAGTAACAATGATGTTACTCACACATACACATATATTTAATATGTGTGTATGTATAAGTAACATATAGTAACAAAATATATGTGTATATTAAATTTAATTTATGAACATATATTAGTAATATATATTATTACTAAAAGACTTTGATGAATAATGTACATGATTATTATATGTAGGGTAAAGCGGGGTATTAGGCCCTATGGCGCATTAAACCCCATTTACTCTGTTTATATAATAAAATGCCTAAATAATAATGCATCTATATTAGCACAAATATTATCTCTCTCTTTCTGAGAGAGAGTTAATATTTAGAGAATATTTAGAGGTAATAGAGAGATTATAGTAAAATAGTAATAGAGAGTAATATAGTAATAGAGAGAGAGACAAGAGTATAAAGTATAAACTTCAATAATATTATTGTATATAGTTTTGTATATAGTATTTGTATAGTTTTGTATATAATATAGTTGTATTATAATACAATCATAAGTTAATATAGTATGGATATATCATATAGTTTTGTTGTATGACAATAAATAGCTATTAAGGTAACTTAACTTATTTACTAAGTTATTATCTTACTACAAATCTATATGATATATTCATTCTAATATGGATATATCATATAGAATCATTAAGTTATCTTAATAACTCTAATATATATCATTAAGTTATCTCAATAACTATTTATTATCATACTATAAAACTATTGGATATATTCATACTATAATACCTTATGGTTGTATTATAACACAACTATATTATATACAAACTAAAACATATATACTAAATTATATAAATACTTTAACTGTATACATATAGAACATAATAATACTATATTTTATAAAAACTAAAACAGGGAGAGCGACCACAGTATTACTATGGTCGTTCTCCCTTTTTAGCCAGGTTATAAGAGCTCTCATGTCTATATAATATATATATTTTCATTCTATATCTATATAGTCATATTATCATTCTATATGGTATTAGATGGTTCGCTCTAGAGTGAACCATCTAATACCATATAAGAGAGATCTCCAGAGAACTCTCCACATATATAATACCAAATAAGAGAGCTAGCTCTGTTATATGGTATTCAAAATTAAAGTGAACTATCGATTACATAAAATGTATATATATATATATATATATATATATATATATATATATATATATATATATATATATATATATATATATATATATATATATATGTATGTATATATATATATATATATATATATATATATATATATATATATATATATATATATATTTTATTTTTTCACCTTAAAACAAGCTTATGTAGTACTTCTATATATTTTGTAAATATAATAATATATTTTCCATATATTAACATACGTCAATATATTATATTTCTATTGTTCAACAATAACAAAATTTTGTTGTTATTGTTAAAAGAAAGGTTATAGCTGTATTTTTTAAGTAAATAACTTACGTATAGAAGTATAATATAAGTATATATAAAATTATAATTTATCGGCAATATAAGTATATAACTTAATGGCAGTAACAAACAAAATCTGAAATCTTTTACAATAATTAAAACGCCTTTTTTTAATATTAGATGAATTAAAGTTACGCAAAAACCAGAAAATAAAGTCAGAAAATAGCAGACGTAACTTTTCTTGCGTAAAGTTTGCTGAGCTTTTTTTTGTGAATACCGTTAATTTGACTTTTTGCGTAAGTAAAAACTTACGAAAAAACTTAAGAATATCGTAAGTTTTTGCCTTGTGAATACAACTTTGCGTAACTTTGAACTTACGCTAAAACTTACGCAAATTTTTGACTTACGAAAGAGTTGTGAATAAGCTCCCAGAACCGTACCGTAGCTATAAAACAATAGGCGTAACTATGCGCACTATTCATTAGAGTATTAATATTTAGATTAACTCTTCGGAAAAAGTTTTTACCTATTTTTTTATTAATGAAAATTTAGGTTTTCTTATTATTATTATTATTATTATTATTATTATTATTATTATTATTATTATTATTATTATTTTTCATTGTGTTCAGTTTTCATTAATATCTTGTTATTGTTAAAACTACTAAAATTAATGTTTATTTCAGAATAATAAAAATGAATAAACAAGAGAAAAATCAATATTTGAGGGAATGGCGCCAAAATAGTCAAGCCTTAAATAATATACTTGTAAATGAAGAAATCAACAACTCATCGCATGTCAAATCCAATATTATTGAAGTCGAGAGTTTTAAATCTGATCAAGACTCTGAGGTTCCTTTGAATGATGTTAATAAAGATCTTAATGATGGAGTACTTGTTACAGAGATTGTCAAATGGACTTTAAAACACAGAATAACTAGAAATGCAAGTGATAAACTGTTATTTTTAATTTTACACCAATATGGTCATCATGTTGATTTACCAAAATGCGCGAGGACAATTTTAAATACTCCTAGGAATGTTCCAAGTGAGTTAAAATATGGAGGTGAATATATTTATCTTGATATTTTAAACAGCATATCAAGAACTTTAGCAGTCAACTAGCATTATAGATTTGAGTCAAATACAATTTTTTTAGTTGTCAATGGCCTTCCCTTATTCAAGTCATCAAACACACAGGCCTATATTATTTATATTTGACAAAGGTATACCATTTATTGTATCATTATTTGTTGGTGATAACAAGCCAAATAATCGTGATGATTTTTATATGATTTTTTGAATGAGTATGAGTTATTATTGGCAAATGGTTTTCAGTATAATTTATTTAACTATTACTCATATAACTTCAATTACATCTTTAGAAAAATTGTTGCAAATGTGCCAATAAAATGTCAGGAAGTGTAAGCGTAACTATTTTCAAAAGATTGAGTCCCTTGAAGAATTTTATGATCTTGAAACCAGATTAAAAGACAACCGTGAGTACTGTAAATTGGTAATTTATATTTATAATTTCTATTTTTAAAGTTTGTCTGTTTGATAAAATGCTATTTAATTTCATCATTTTCTTGGTGAACCTATTTAAATTGCTCTCTCATTTCACCAGAATATTATGTAAAAGGTAAATTATTACTTAAAATGTAAAAAGTAAATTCAAACAATACATATATCGAGAATTATTTTAGTGACCTGACAGCCATTTACATTCTGTAGAGTTTTTCACAGTCTTGTATTTTTTGTTAAATAATTTTGTTATTAAATTTACTATTTTGTTGCTTTTATAGAACAACTGTGACGAACAACCAAATAAATCTAATCCTGTCACATTTGAACATGAAATTTTCACTAGACTTTTATTTATGTTTTAGCTTTGTCATCTAAAGAAAGCAGGTGGAAAAAATGTTAAAGAAAATATAAAAAATGTTATGGTCAGGTATGTATTTTTGTTTAACTCTGGATAATCAAACCGTTTAAGTTGTGAGTAAATTTAATAGAAAAATTTAGCCCAATAAAAGTAACTTAGAAAAACAAACAGTTTTAATATTAACATTTGGACAAAAAAAAATATGCATACAAGTATCTAAGGTTACTTGGTAAATAAACTCCTGTGGAAAGAAATATTAAACACAACAATTCAACAGACGAAATCATCATTCTATCATGGCCTAAACATGATGGGCCAAACATAACATTAAAACTGTTGCATTAATGAGAATTAATAGCACATTTCTGCTGGCGGAACAAACAATTTTCAATGTATAAATTAGACAACTTTATCAACTTTTAAAAAGTCTTTTACGAAAACTGCCCCATTCATTTAGGTTCTCCCCTACAGGTTTCAGCTTTAATTCAATGTCGAAACTTTGAATATAAAACATTTATAAAAAAGTAAAGAACCTTTCAAAGTTATACTTTGTGAATTATTACTCTAATTTGTGTTTACAATTAATTGAATAAGTTCGCTGGATCAATTGATGTAGTATAACAGGGTTCCCACACCTCCTTAAAAACCTTAAATATCCTTAAAAAATAAAAACCTCCTTAAATGTCCTTAAATAACCTAAAAAAAAAGTTAAAATTTGACTGCTCTCCTCAATTTCTCCTTATTTTTTTTTTTATTCATTTAGAAAAATTTTTTAAAGTGAATGGATTATACTTTTTAATAAAGAAGATATTATATAGATTTTTGATAGTTTTCAAACCTATTTTTGTTATTATATATATATTAATATTTTTATATATATATATAAAGTAATAACAATTTCTCTGTTTATATTTAAAATTTATTGAAAAAAATAAGATTATGTTTTTAATGTAATCGTTTTCTCCTTAATTATCCTTAATTTTTCTTTCAAAAAAATGTCATTAGCGACCAAATCTCCTTAAATATTAGGAAAATATCTCCTTAAATCTCCTTAAAATCCTTAAATTTTAGCCTTAGTTTTAATAGTGGGAACCCTGTATGACAAAGTAGTTATTTTTCATTTATTATTTTTTATTACGTTTTTATAGAATTATGGAGCATCATGATACGGCCAAGTTGAATATGAAAAGCAAAATTTGTGGTGATATAAAGAAGGTATCATTCAAAGATAAAAAGTTGTGTAAAGCAATAAATGGTACGTTAATAATAGCTCAATATTGTTTTTTCTATCCCTTTTTCCGTACATATGTTTTTTATTCTTAGATATATATTAGTCTTGAACGTTGAATGTTAGCATTGAAAATCAAACAAATAGTCAATTATAAACAAAATAAGTTTTAAACTGTTATCCTGTTTACAGTATCCCATGTTGTATTTTAGAAGTCATACAGCTAATGCACGAAGGTTCGACGGAAGCAAACAAAAGATCAAATAAGAAGCATTTTAAAGTTCTCTCCATTGAACAATTTTTTATTTTTGAGTTTTTTTGTAAATTTATAATACAAAAGATTATATAATACATCTTTAAAAAAATCTTTAAAAATATTTATTGTATTTTTAGTTTGAATATCCTCAAAACTATTTTTCTAACCCTTTGTAAGGGGTTATGTTTTTTCAGCTTGTATTTACATTAGTATAACGTTAAGGGGGAAACTCCCCCAAAAATCATCAAAAACACAAAAAATTAGTATCACCTTTTTTAGACATAAAAATATCCATAGATTTCATTTATGTAATTTGTTTTTCATAAAAATCATTCTAAAGTGCAGAAATTTTAGGTTTTTTAATGGTGAGTTGATGTTTCGATATATCGAAAGTGAAATTATTTTGTCGTATTTGAATGCCAAAAAGTTGTAGAGTAAAACGTTGAACTAATCTTACTAGGAAAAGGTTTAGATCTTTTTCAGTTAAAAAAACATTAATTTAAGAAGAAGTTGTTGTTGATAGTGTAAATAAAGAATCTACTCCAATTGTAAATATTTTAATTATATAATGACACTGTGATTCACTGTCCAAGTGATGAAAATAAAAATGACGCTTCTGATAATATTGCAAATATTCCAGCATCACATTCAAAAATACGACAAATTGATGTTGTTGAATCTTCTTATAATACTCTACTGTCTGGATATAGAATTATAGATATAGAAGTGTTATCTGTTATCTTTAAAGAACTCTTTGTCAAATGTGCTTCAATGAAAACCCTCTTGTGTTGTCTGACAACTTAAAAGATCGACATGGACTTGCCTCTTTTTTAGTTTTAAAATGTTCAGATTGTTTATTTTGTAAAAATTTTTGTACTTCAAAAAAAAGTGGTAAGCAGGGATACAACATAAATAAGCAAGGTATTTACACAATGCAGTTGTTGGGTCATGGTCAGGACTTGAAAAATTCACTTCTTCAATGAATATTCCTCCGCCAATGACTAGAAATAACTATGACAACCTTGCTAAAACAATCTCTAAAATTGTGAAAGAAGTAGCAATAGAAACTATGTGTGATGCTGCTGCAGAAATCAGAAATGATTGGAATACTGAAATTGTTGATACTGGTGTTTCATGTGATGGGACATAGCAGCGACGAGGTTTTTCATCATATAATGGTGTAATGACTGCAATATCTATTGATAGTGGAAAGGTATTGGATGTAGAACCAATGTGTAGAGTTTGTAAAGCTTGTATTTTAATGGAACCAAAAAAGAAAAGTGAACCTTTAAATTTTGCTGAGTGGAGAAACCTACATAAGTGTGCATATGGCTACAAAGGGTCTGCTGGGGGTATGGAGTCAGTTGGTATGAAAAAAATATTTTAACGTTCTATTACAGAACGCAAGCTTCGCTATGTAAACTATTTAGGTGATGGTTGTTTATAAAATTAAACCAATTTTTGCAGAACTCAGTGCTGACTAACATTTGGAAAAGTGCTTACATGGTAAGACACAAAATAAAAATGAAAGTTTTAATTGCACTATCTGTGAGCGTTTACCTAAAACAAAATTTATATCATTCAGTCAATTAGAATTTGGAGTTTATGATGCAGTGGCTAATTTTAAAATTGGTCAAAAAGCCTCAATTTTAGTTTATGAATCTTTGGACATAATTCCAGGAGTATATACTCCTAAAGATTGTAAAAATTTAAACTATAAACTACTGTTACCTTCCAAATACAGAAATATTGATAAAAACAAATTGCGACGAAAAATTATTTGTGGCAAAGAGCATAACAAAAATGATAAAGAAAAAGAAAAAGAAGGGAAGTTGTATGAAGCAGGAGATTTCTAATACTTTTTATTTGGTATTTAAACCATAGTATGTGTTTTACTTAAAGTTTTAAAGTTTTATGCGCAAATTTTTTCTTTTCGCGTTTTCTCAAAATAGTCTTTTTTCACACTCCGGCCGTTCCATATCAAGAACCGTTTTACCAATTTTGATGAAATTTTCTGGAGTTGTTTCTATGATTATTAACTGTGGTTTAATACAAACAGTTTTTTAAATTGAGGTTTAGATTTTTTTATTTTGAATATTTTGAATAAAAAATATTTTCGCCATCTTTAAATGTGCACACATCGCTCAGATTTTTAGTTACAGGAAAATGCCGCTATTAAAACACCCTTTGACCTTTTGTGAAGCATTTGGTGAAAGCTTTTTAAGAGATCTTGCACGGTTATTTAGTTTTTACGGCCGGTGTGAATGCATTTTTTGCCCATTTTTATGTGTTTTTTGTGGATACTATGGCAACCAAAAACCATTTTGTATTTTTTTTCAAGGATTTTGTTTATTCATAATATATTGATGTTTTATAGTCTTGATTTTGTTTTAAATGTTTAATACTTCTATTTAGGGGGGGGGGCTTTCCCCTTAATCTAACTTTAGAATTTTACGTTAATATAACGTTAATATCTAATCTAAATCTTTTATTAAACTTTTATTATTGAATCCCTCTTTTCCAAGCAATTTAACCCTCCCCTACAATTAGGTAAGCAAAAGCAGGTTTAAAACAGTTTGTTAAAGTGTTACACAAACACTTTCATAACAAAAAATGATTTTTATAGTAAAAAGAACAATATTTTATGCAACCAACCCTGACAGCCATTAGTAAAATTTATTTTTTGAAAAACTTATGTGGTAAATGTGGTCTACTCTAATATCATGATTTATAGGCGTTATAAAAGCAACGATTATCTACAAACAATAAAATATCTTAACACGCCAAAATTACCCTACTTTATCTAGTGAATTTGCGGTGGGAGTGTGAGAGGTTCATTGAAGTTTTGCTCATCGGTTACTTAGTAAACCATTAATGACATCCGCTATAAATGCCAATAACTTTCTAACATATGATATAATGGTAAAGTTAGAACAACTGTAAGTGGTATACGCACTGGCATTTTTGCTTATGCAGACGATATAATTCTACAAGGTCCTACTTATTTTGGACCACATGAATTGATTAATAATGTTTAAACCCAATGCCAAAACCTCTACATCTATAACTGTAACTAATCACTGAAAAAGCCGAGTTTATTGTGTCCGGTAAAAGTTATAAAATAAAAGCATGTTAAATTTTATAACAAATAAGCTTTTTTTTCTCTATTTCTCAATAATCTCTTCTAGTAAATGGCAATCTCATTTGATTTTAAACAAGTTTTTAAAATATTTCTTATAGTATGAAGAATGAATATAATTTGGAGCAGTCGTGGTGTATATACAATGTATATACGCCATAGACAATGATGGATTCAGCATTTTTTGCTGTTTCAGATTGATAAATTTTAAGTTTTATAGTATTATCTCTTAGCGTTCAAAAATTATGACCAAATAAAGTCTAAACCCCCTCAATTTTAGGGGGATACAAATTTTATATGGTAATAATTTTTGAACGCTGAGAGATAATACTATGAAACTCAATATTTGTCGACGAATTCAAATCTAGTCAAGAATGATACAGAAAATATTATATCAATTTGTTACCCTCACGTTTAGGGTTGGGGTAGGGGGGGGGTGTAGTTATGAGATTTTAAGGTTTTTTTGTTCCCAGCCCCCAATAATTGCAATTCTTTGCATAGCATTATTATTTGACATAAGTATAAACATACAAATGTTTGGAGTTTGCTCTATGCCTAGAAGTTAGCTTCTTCCATGTCTAGAAGTTAGTTATCTCAAACACCGGATCCGTCACTCGCCATATATGCATCATTAATAAGGAAAGAAGCGTAAACCTCCTGGTTAAATGATATTCCACAATGCCCTGTGATTAAACCGTTAAGAATTTTTGAAAACCTAAAAATCTAATATTAATAAAAAAGTGTTAATCAGTTTTCAGCATCACAATTTTTTTTTTTCTGTTCCTAACTAATTCAACTTTTTATTACATAATTCTTTTTGATTTATTTAAGCATTTGCTCTGAAAAATTTCATTTGAAAGTAAAACTTGATTGTCAAATTGATTAACTAAAAAAGTACATAACCTTTAAGTAGTAGGGGGTATCCTCCCCCCAGCTGTTAAATATGCATATGAATTGGCACATTTAGCATTTCAGTTGGCAACTTTGAAGTATAGTTGGCAAATGTTAAATATCGAGGATTTTTTTTTTTTTAGGTGTCTCTAACACATACAACACCCCCCTCCATGAAAGACCTATTCAGGACCGCCCTGGTTACACACATGCAAAAACTCAACTCTAAAAAACTTGACACACTTCTAACAACTCAACAAACACACAATATTATCAGACTGCTCAATACACATTTAACGAATTAAAACGTTTTCGACATCAGAAAAAAATAATAGACTGCACTATGATATATATATATATATATATATATATATATATATATATATATATATATATATATATATATATATATATATATATATATATATATATATATATATATATATATATATGTATATACATATATATATATATATATATATATATATATATATATATATATATATATATATATATATATATATATATATATATATATATATATATATATATATATATATATATATATATATACATCCATACATATATATACATATACAAATGTACAAACACACATTTACATATCAAAAGTTTTGCTAAAACTTAATGAAATTTTGTAAAAGTTTCAGAAAGCATTTCAATAAAATTTGATTTGTAACAGAAAATGTTTTTTACAGTGTACTAAAAACTTGATTAAGTCAACCTATAATCCATCTTTTTTATCCAAAGCAATATTATCAAATGCAGAACCACTATCTTTATAATCTGTTTCATCTTTTCTTTTAACTTTTTCTGTTATTTTTATAGGATTGTCTGTTACATTAATGCCATAATGACTTGGAACTCCAACACTAGTCAAGCGATCAAATTCATTATGGTTTTTTTTTTTGTTTGTTTCTAAATTAAACGAACGTTTTTGACCATGAATTCCAAAAGCAGCCAAGTAACAAAGAAAAACAGAAAAAACAGCTACTACAATTAGTATCACAAGAGTTCGTGTCTCTACTCTTTGCGGTGGTATTCTTGGAGTGGTAACTGTAATATTAGTTGGATATATCGAACTAAAAATTGGGTTTGTGCTCACTGTTGCTTTTACACTAATATCTGACGTCACTATCTTTGAATCGACAATTTGATTTGCAATAGTAGAGGAACTATATTTCGCAAAAGAAGATGACAATAGCATAATTAAACTATAACTCCTAGAAGAAGATGACGATGATAGCGATGATGATGAAATAGATGATGATGAAGAAGACATATGGGATGTTGATAAAACAGTTGATGGAGACAACATAGACGATGATGATGAAATAGATGATGAAGAAGAAAACATAGACGATGATGATGAAATAGATGATGATGAAGACGCTGTAGGCAATGTTAATGAAGTAGATGATGAAGTTGCAGAGTTTGTTACGTAGCTAATTGTATAGTATGAAGATGTGGCAGCAGTAGTTGCTGTATTTTGTAAAAAACTTGTTTGAGAAGAGGCGATTAAACTGCCATTTACACTACGTTCCAGACCTTAAAAAAAGTGTAAATGAATCTATATTTTTATTAGCTAAACAAAAACCAAATATTATTTGATAACTGTAAAAATGAATATCAGTTAAAACTTGGAAATAGATTTTTAAAGACTTTTAGAAAAAAATATTGAAAAATAACTTTAAAATTTTGAATTCTTAATAAAATATATTACTTACAAACAATGCATACGCTAAAAACTAAAAAAAATGATACGAACTGATCCATTTTGTTTCAAAAAATATTTTATTTTGTTCGTTTTTGATTTCTATAATTTACTCTGTCATCTTGACATATACAAATGCTGTTGCTTTTATAAATAACCAATAAGATTGGTTTATTGTCAGTAAATATGTATTTTTAGCCAATTACGTTTACGTAGTATGTAATTTTCTATTGACTTTAAGTATAGAGAAAAATTACTTATAAAGAACTTTTGTTTATTAAACTTTGAAAAAGTAAACACAAACCCCGATATCAATAGATATAGTTATTATTTTTTTTTCCAATGTTTCCTGCAATCCGATGAGATAAGAGAAAAGTTCATAAAGTAAATCCTTTAACAATGACGTTTCAAATAAACAATGGTGGTGTGCACATACACACATTGAGATAAAAATATTTTCATTTTAAATACAGGTGTTTTTAGTTAATAAAAAAGTTAACTTGTTGTTGTTCTATTCTTTATTTTTAATTTTTATTATGCGTATAACTTTGTTATATTATTTGGTTGAATATTTCTATAACTATTGAATATTACTAGAAATGCGACAGACCCGTATTTAAAAGCTTTTTTTTTTTTTTTTTTTTTTTTGTTATTTAGGTGCCCCAAGAAGTCCTTAGGGTCTTGTCACAGAGCACTGCGGAAGTGCATTTAACCAGGAAGTTCACGCCTCCTTCCTTACCGTGACGCGAAATATGTTCAAAGCTCGTTTTGAACCTGGATCTCAATTCATATTGTGCCCCGAAACCTGATTATCTTCTGCAAAGCAAAAAAACAAACAAACAACAACTCCATTTTGTAAATGGAATTTATTTTTTACATATTTTAATTAAAAACATAGTCTCTTGTTGACTATTCTGATCTTTAAAATATATAAAATTGTTGTAAACTGTTTGAACCAAACGTATTGGCAACTTTAATTTCCATTTATATTATTGTAAAACTTGAATGACGATTGTTTTAATTTTTTTTTTTTTTTTTTTTTAATTTTACATTTGTTGGTCGTATTACAACTATATATTGCCAAAAAAAAAAAAATAATAATGAAAATAATAATAAACTTTCACAAATATAAAATAAGGTATCTGAAAGAAGATCAAAGGATCTTGTCGTCAGAACCTTAAATAAATTCAAACAAGCATTAAGAGTATCAAATTTTTACAAATTTCATATATATATAATCCAAATATATATTATATAATCCAAAGAGAGATCACGCGGATCTACTCACCGATATTTTATATAAACGTATACGTTAAGTAAAGAATATAAAATCAACAAATTAAGTAAAAATAAACTTTTTACAAATATATATAAGAAAAGGCAAAGTTATTAATTCATATTATTAATAATAACATAATACGTCATCTAATGAAAAAATTAAGGTTTTTCATTTACTTTTAAAAAACTTTTCGTTTTTTTGCCTATCGGGCACCACACCTTTGGAAAAATTGCGCAAAACAATTTTATTCCAAAGGTGTGGTGCCCGATAGGCAATACAAAATTGATTAAAGTTTGTTTGACAGAAAGGTTCATTTAAAAAATCAGTATTTCTCAAATTGTATTTGTTGATGGGTTTCGGAGTAAAAATATCTTTGAAAACAGATTGAGACAAGTCACTTTTCCACGTGTATACAAAGCATAAAACGTTGTATATATTTAGCTCGTATATATTTAAAATTCTCATTTCAATAAAATAATGTTTTGCGTGAGAAAAGCGATTTGCAAAGCAGATTAAACGGATAGCATGTTTCTGACGGCGATAAAGAGGTTGAAACTAACTTTTTTCTGTACTACCCCAGGCGATATTAGCATAATTTAAATAACTGTGTATAAATGAATAATAAAGTTTGATTAAATTTTTCTTATTGAGGTAGATTTGTGCTTTATATAAAACTCCTATGTTTTTTAAAATTTTAGTGCTTATGTAGTCGATATAATGATTCCAAGTGATGTTTTCATCAAGATAAACACCTAAAAATTTTGTTACGGAATCCCTTTTTATTTCATTTTGATCAATAAAAATTTTAGGTAAGTTTAATGGCAAATACCGTTTTTTGGAAAGCGAATGGAATAAGGTCCACTTTGTTTTATTAGAATTAAATTTGTTAAATTAGAGTTAACTTATTACATTTAAACCAACTTAATACATGCATAAGCTCTTTGTTCATTGTTTTAAAAAGTTCAAAGATATCACTGTTAGAAAAGAATAAGTTAGTATCATCTGCAAACATAATACTTGTTAGTTTAGAGGCTTTATTTTAATCATTAATATAAATTGGGAAAAGGAGGGGACCAAGAATTGAGCCTTGTGGGACTCCACATGTTATAGAAAGACAATTGGTATGATAACCATCATTACTCGGAACCAATTGTTTACGATTTGACAAATAGTTTTCGAACCATTTTAAAACTTTTTTTTTTATTCCATAGTGTTTAAGTTTATAGATTAGAATTTGGTGATCAACCGTATCAAAAGCTTTTGATAGATGAATAAAAAGTCCTAGAGTATATTGTGATTTTTCAAATGATTTTGAGATTTTGGATAACTGCATGTTCAGTTGAGCTATCCTTTTTAAAACCAAATTGATTAATGTAAAGTAATTTATTAAAATGAAAGTATTTGTATACTCCGTTATATATAATTCTTTCTAAAATTTTTAAAAATGTGGAAAGAACAGAAATAGGGCAATAGTTACTAATAATTGATTTGTCCCCTTCTTTGAAAATAGGAATAATTTTGGCAATTTTTAACAGTTGGGGAAAACACCTTGATGGATAGAAGCTTTAAAAACTTTAAAAAGAACAACTTTTAGCTGTTTAAAACAATCTATAATAAAGTTTCCATTTATTTGATCTGCTCCAATTGCTTAATTTTTTTTTAACAATTTGAAGGCTCTTTCAAACTCATCAAAAATTCAGAAGACAACTCAACTGAGCCAATGCAATTATCAATGGGTACTAGAAAATCAGTAAATAAAGATTTAGTCTTAGGGATTTTTTTAGAAAGTGTTGGACCTATATCGATAAAAAATTTGTTAAATTCTTGAGCTATAGTTCTTGGTTCGTATAAACTTTTGTTATCGACTCTAACCATTTGTGGCAGAAAACCTGAGCATGATTTTTGTTTTCCAATAATTTCATTCATTATTTGCCATGTGCGTTTTGTGTCATTTTTAAATGTATTGAGTAATTGGGAGTAATAATTTTTTTTTAGATTTTTGGGAATTTTTTCAAATAGATTTTTGTACTCCTTATTGTTATAATATTGTTGGCCCATTAAAGTTTTTTTTTATTAGTTTGAGTTTGTTTTAACTTTTTAAACAAAATTACTCTGTAACAAGAATAAATTTGTAGATAAAATCAATTCCCTAAGATTTCTGTAAACATAGAGGAACATGGCAAATTGACGAATGTTTCGGAAAACACTCGTCAACTAACTGCGCCAATAATTATAACTTTATCAAGAAGTGATGCAAAATATTGTGTCACCAAAGAAGTAAAAAACCATTACAAAAATTAAAAAAAGCTTCGGAAACACATACTTAACGTAACCAATTGAAAATAGCTTCAGAAACACTTATTAACCAATATTACTTCAAATCGTCATAACATAATTGTAAAATAAAATATTGTATTTCATAATATTGTGTTTCATAATATAATAAAGACTAAGCTACTTAAGTAAATTTCCCTTTAGCATATTTTCTGCAAATAAAAAAACACTCTTGTTTACAAGATATACATCCCAGTCATTAACTAGCAACACATCATTAGGAGCACAACAGGTAGTTTCATAAAACATGAAACTTCTTCAGTTTTATCATTTTTATTTTAAAAGTTGAATGTTATATTTTTTGGTCGTTCTTTCTATGACTCCTTCATTCTTTTTAATTTTTTTTTCATTCTTGGTTTTTAAATTTATGTGGTTCTTTCAAATCATCAGTTTAGTTCTTTTAATTTACATTCAATACGTTTTTAAATTCATCTGGTATTTTCAATTCATCAGATTAGTCATTTCAAGTTATATTCAATACTTTCAAATCATCTTTAAAGCAGTTACTGGTGTTTTTTTAAAGGCTGGCTCTCTTTTTATACTTTATTTTTTAATTTTTCTTGTTGTTTTTTTTGAGTGCAGCTTATTGGACTGCAACTTGTTTCCATTTCTACTTATTTACATTTTTGCTTACCGCTTGAACTATTTTTAACCTTAAAAGCAATAGGCACTTCTTTTAACTCTATCTAGATTCTACCACTACCATATTTTTTACTGAATACATTTGGTTAATGTTATCAAATAGCAACAATAAACGTTCCTTGTTGTTAAATGATATGTTTGACGCCAATGATAAAACCACCATTAAGCTCTTGCTGTGATATTAAATGTTGCTGTCACAAATTGACAGTAAATACTATAACGTTAAAAAAAAGTCTAAAATGCAAATTCATAGAAGTCTTCATTATAAGACTAAAAAATGTTTTTATAAAGATGTCTTTAAGACATCTTTTGATGAACCTTTTAATGTTCTTTATTAGATCTTATAGTAATTTGTGCTCATTAAATGTTTAAAAATATATTAGCTAGTGTGTTGCATTTTTAACAAACTTTAAAATATGAAAAAATGGCTGATGAGGAGCTGCAAGTTACCAAGTATTACCAGCAAAAGACTAGCAAGACCATTATATTAGAAAACCATCCTATTCAAACTCCAAGAAAACAAAAAGTTCACACCGAAGCGTATTTAATACATACTTATTAATCGCTAGTCTCAATCTACAGAAACTACAGGTACAGGCTATCCGATTTATTGTACCAGTCTTTAATGCTGTTCGCATTGACATCAAAGATATGAATCTATTTACAAGCTCAATGTTTATATGTTTATATATATACATATACATATACATATACATATACATATATATATATATATATATATATATATATATATATATATATATATATATATATATATATGAATATGAGACCCTAATATATATATATATATATATATATATATATATATATATATATATATATATATATATATATATATATATATATATATATATATATATATATATATATATATATATATATATATATATATATATA